AGAGAAAGATCCGAAGATGCATAGGTGGCTTTCTATTTTCAGTTTTTATTTTTTATTTTTTATTTTTTTATTTTATTGTTTTTTTTATGGTTAATGTATGTTTTTGAAGTCCAACAAAAAAAAATCTATTTTCTTTATATTGGTTATTATTATATATATTTTTAAAAAGCCTTTTTTATTTTTTGAAGTAATTAATAGTGGGGCAAATTTGTCTTTAAGAAATTATGTCAGCCCTGAAGGGGTTATATGAAAGTGAATTAGAACCTCAAGAGGTGTTAGTGTTATACTTCAAACGTGAGAGGGTTTTGTGAAAACACGATAATCCTTAGAGGATGTTAGTGTAATTAACCATAATACTAAGTGACATCTTTCTACTATCTACTCTCACATTTTTTAGCTCTTGAATAAAATTAATAGCCTGATTTTCTTGCGCCGGGTGTCAACATCCTTGAGGCCTAGTCACCCGTTAATCGAGCTTCAGTTCACAACAAAGACACAAGGAGTGTCAAATACCATGTAGACTCTGGAACCTCAATGTCTTTCCCACAGGTAGCCGGACCAGCAGCCATCGTGAAAGCTGCTCACTCATGCTGGTCTCCTAAAGCTACTAGCTCAATTTGCACAGGGCAACAAAAACCTTTCTTTTCGATAATCATAGAAGCATTTCTCCAAGAACAAGTAATACCGGCGTTTCTTAACGAATCAAATCAGATGATTCTACACAATCCAATCAAATGTTTAATTTTTTTTAGATAGTGAAATGGGATTCGTACAGTAAAGAGATTGGTATCTTTGAGAGGAGCTATCTGAAGATTTGGTTTTGGTTTTGATTGGAAGTCACTTGGATGCTATTTCCTCGGAATATGCTTTCCTCTACGGTTTCCCATTTCCCGCTTGCTTTTTCGCTTTTCAGCCATACGCACAGGAGGTGGAGTCGGCCTTCCTTTTATCGCTTGCTCTGTTTTATGTGTTTGTGGCCCATTTACTCGATACTCTATTGGAAGGGAATTGACATTCCCTTTCCTCTTAATATCCAAGATTCAAATTTTTTGTTTCTTTGTAGTTTAGATGAATTTAGTGTAGAATATTCAAAAATATTTATTTATTTATTTTTGGTCATATAAGCCAATTCCTTTTTTTTTTGTTAGTTCATACCAAGGTCTATACAATGTAGAGAAGGATTCAATTATGTTGAAAGAAAAATCTCATGGAAATATTTTTGAGCTAGCTATGATCTTAAATTTTGTTCAAATCCGATGTATTAATCTTTTATTTTATTTTATCAAAGCATGTAAACAAGCTCTGTTCTTATGATATAATCATGTCAGTTTTCATACAAATTTTAAAGCTCTATCACTCTTGTTGAATTAAAATTTTCCTTAACAATATCCAAAAAAAAAAAAAATCCTACAATTGTTCTCCAATTAAAACAAGATTGTGAAGCCTAAAATAATCCAAAAAATTCTAGAGGCGACATGTGGATTTTTATTTAAGAAGGACAAGATTGTCCTCAATAAATGGGCAGGCTTCTCATATTCTTCCACCCGTAGGCGCAACTCACATCCTAAATAACTCAGCAGCTGAGCACACCTGCCCATGGCAATGAATTAAAGATAAGGATTAATTACCCAAATCCTATCTTTAATACATTTCTAATTGAAGATTGACTCCAATCAAGTAAGTAATCATAATTTAAATCAATTAAGGATTATTATCCTATCATCTCAAGATATTATCTCCTATTAAATATCTTGGGAATATTTAGAGAATCTTTCTCCATTAAACCCTATATGGTTGGCCCAAGCCCTATAAATACCCCATATTCTACCAATTTTAGACAGCTTTTTGCAACCCTAAAAAGCATTAAACACTTTACTCTCTCAGAAAAACTAACTTAGGCATCGGAGATCCGTTGATCTAACCCTCTCCCCCCACGTCGTGGGTGCATGAGGCTTAAGGCTTAGGTCTTTGATCAAAGGTAGTGATTGTTTTGCAGGTGCATTTTCGTCAAGATTGAAAACGGCGGAAATTTGCATCAACAAAGATCATGCACTGATAGTGGAATTGGATTATTTATTTAAATATAACTAAAAAAATTAACGATTTCGATTGCAATATGTATCCAGTAAAAGCTCACTTAGTATATTACCCCACCACCATGTTATGCCGTTTTTAGGTTTATTTAACCTGCACAAATACAAAGAGCAAAAAAGAAAAAAGAATATTTTAAAGGAAAACTAACAAAAAAAAGTTTAAAAAAAATTATTTTAATGAAAAGCTATTTTTAAATGTATAGTGAATAGTACCAGAGAAATGTATAAATATGGTTTTTCGTTAAAGTTGAACAGTACCGAAAATGTTTTGTTAAAACTTCCTATTTTTAGTTATTAACTTAAATTAGTAATGCTCATCATTCTACTCAACAAATAAAATTGTTATTTAATTTCATTTTGATGTTTAAGGTTTAGGTATTCCTCATTATTTAAGAGATCGAAGGACGTGACAGAGACCTTGCTAGATCCAAAACATACTTCATCGTGCTTCCAGGCTTTCGGCCAATGGTTCTTTCTGGATCTCCAAAACACGTCCCCGTCCCGCCGCTAAAAGCCTAAAACCCTAACCATTTTTATTTTATTTCTGAAAATATGATAAAATATAAAGATAATTCGGACTCGGCACTTAGGGTGCGTTTGGTACGTGGGACGGGACGGGACGGAACGGGACGAGGCGTTCCGTCCCGCGTTTGGTGCGCCAAAAATGGGTGGAACGGGTTGTTCCACAGGACAGATTTTGAGTGTTTTTGCGTTCCACCTCCCCCCTGGAACGGGTTTGTTCCACGTTTGTGGAACGCAATGTTTTACCATTTTAAGACAAATATACCCCATGTCTTTTTCAAAAATTACACCTTCGTTCCGTCCCGTCCCGTCCCGTCCCGTCCCGTCCCGTTCCGTTCCGTTCCGTCTGCGTACCAAACGCACCCTAAGGGTGCGTTTGGTACGTGGGACGGGACGAGACGGAACGGGACGAGGCGTTCCGTCCCGCGTTTGGTGCGCCAAAAATGGGTGGAACGGGCTGTTCCACGGGACAGATTTTGGGTGTTTTTGCGTCCCACCTCCACCCCCTGGAACGGGTTTGTTCCACGTCTGTGGAACACAATGTTTTACCATTTTAAGACAAATATACCCCATGTCTTTTTCAAAAATTACACCTTCGTTCCGTCCTGTCCTGTCCCGTCCCGTCCCGTTCCGTCCCGTCCTGTCCCGTCCCGTTCCGTCCCGTCTGCGTACCAAACGCACCCTAAAGGCTAGCCACGTGACACGGTCATATCTTGGAAAAAGTGACGATGGGCTGCTGGACAGCAGACGCGGCTGTGTGTTGGCCCATCACGCAAGTCATTGTACGATGGTTGTTGACAATTTTCCCTCCAAGATATGAATTATACGAGAGATGTTAAGAAGAATCTCTTAATTATTTATATAAGAAAATTATTGTAATGATTTTTAAATTTTAATTCAATTAAAGTAATACTTTTTAATTAAAAATTCACGATCATTAGTCCTATAACTCATCAAAATATTTAACTATAATCATTTTCGTTGTGAGGTCAAAATCAAGAGGTAAATTTGAAAAATTGAATGAAAAAATTGTATAAATAATCCTTCAACTTTAACCCAATTAGAGAAATAATCCATCAACTTTAACCAAATTAAAACAATGGTTCTTCAACTTTAACCCAAATGTAATAATGATTCTTTCAACACGACTCATTTTGACAAAATTTATGACGAAATTGATGAAAATGACCATATCTGCACGTTTTAAGAATTTAAGGGTCCATTAGTCATAGATTTTTAGTTGATTGACCATTGCTATAATTTCCTTTATTTATAAACTCTTGACTAACTCGTAGTTTAACATTAATTTTTCTGTTAATACTATAAAATATTGTGCTAAAAATATGAGGTGACAGAAAGTCCATAAAGATTCCACTTTTGAGGGAGTTTCATTAACATTTCTCTTAGATTATGACTTACTGTTGATTAACATGTTTATTTTCTATTAGTGACGCATTACATAGTTTACAAATTTAATCTAAAAAATTAGTCTAGCTTGTATTATTTTATGAAAATATATCAATTGATTCCCAATGCACTTTTACAGAACACTATTGCTTATAAGAAGCCTTTAAGGGAAGAGATTCCCAATTTTTCATAAAAATGGGAATTAGTTGTGGGATTCATACCACAACGAACTTTAACAATCTGAACTGTCTATTTTTCAAGTTGCACCTTATTGATTATTCTTACAAAATATTAGCCAAATCGGAAATATTTAAGACATCTAATTTGGTTAAAGAAATATTAACGAATATGTTGTTATATAAGAAACAATAATATTTTATCTTGATAATTAAATAGGTAAGTGGTTTTGGACTGAATTCAACTTTTGCAAGTATGATCTATGAATCGAGACTTACAAAATAGATAGTTCGGATTGTTGAAATTCGATGTGGAGTGAGTCCTACACATAATCCTCATTTTTTTGAAAAAAAAAGGGGATTTCTCTGCATAAAAGACCTAATTGCTTATATATAGCTCGTCCTCCCTCTTTTGCTTGTTTGTTTCTTAGTTTTGTAGGCAATACTAAGAATCTATCTAGTTAAATTTTGTAAAAAAATAACGTACTTGTTGATAATTGAATTATTACTTAAGTGTTGATTAATGTAATTAATTTTTTTTTATAACACAACAAATAGTTCGCAAATGTGGTATAAAAAATTAGTCTACATAACATAACTTTATTTTTGCCAAATAAGAGAAGCTACGAGGTTAATGATCATTTAATTTTTCGCTTATCCTTAACTTAGAGGTGTAGACGAAAATATATTGTTATATATAACTTGATTAAACTTATGTTTGTTTATTTTACATATATTTATTTGTTATAATTGAGAGCTGTATAATTAGTTATACTTTGTTTTTCGGTTAGGAATTGTTTTTTGGGTAGGAAGTCAGGAGAGAGACAAAAAGTGTGGCCTGAGGATAAAGAGAGTGGGCATCCACAATCAGATAAAAATATCCTTCTCTGCGTTTCCCTTCTCTGTGAATACTATTCTAGGGTTTCTGATCTAGTTTCCATATTTGGATTCCTTCCAATCCAATACCGCTGTGTCCTTGCTGCTCATTTTTAAGGTGTTTTCCTTTGTCTTTTCAGTAATTAGTACTTATGGGTTCTCTATATTCCATTTTTAGAAACTTAATCTAACATGTTTTTGGGGGTTTTCTTCTATATATATCCTTCTGGGTTTCATCTATAATTTGCATTTTTTTAGAACTTCATTGGGGTTTTTAAAGTAATCCCTCTTCTGGGTTTTCTTTGCAAAATCTATCATCTTTCTAGTGTTGGAGCACTTCTTCAATTCTTCTCGGGTTGCAGGTTGTAAATCTTTTTCTTAATAATTCTACTATAAAAAACACTTTGGCTAGCTGTTTGAGCTATATATGTAGCATATGTTACCAATTTTTATAAGGATTTTTGTTTTCGTTGCTATTAATTATGGTGGTGGACGATGATTTAGGCAAAGCTAGGACATGGTGAGAAAGAAGGTTGAGATGAAAAGAATTGAGAATAACACAAGCCGACAAGTGACCTTCTCGAAACGTCGAAAGGGGTTGTTAAAGAAAGCTTATGAGCTTTCGGTTCTTTGCGATGCTGAAGTTGCAGTCATCGTCTTCTCGCAAAAAGGCAGGATCTATGAGTTCTCCAGCTCTGAGTACGTTTCTTTTATTAAATACCTTATGCTTAAATTCTTGAATCCCCATCTTTTCTTTTGTTCTATATGCTTAATTTAAAAAAAAAGGAAAAAAAAAAAAAGAAAAAAAAAGAAACAAACATCATTAAAAATTTTGTGCGTTAAGTAACAAGGTATGGGTATAGTTGTACCAGCTTGAGGCTAGGGTGTACGATGATACAAAAATTGAAACTAGATGATGAAAATTTGATTGTAGTCCCTAAACTCTATTAAATGTTAGCTTATGTGTGTGTGTGTGTATTTATATATTTTCATGATGTCCATGAGTTCATATTTATGAAAAGTATTTCATAAATTTAATACTCATTTGAAATTCAAGTGAATTTCAATTTATTTGTTGACATCTTGCATAAAAAATAAACTGTAAGTAAATGATATAACAAAATTATTAGATATGGACTTTTCATTTTTGGTACATTGTGTATTTGCATATTTTCTTATGTCACTAATTCATTACAACATATTTACGTACAAATATTTCGGTATACTAATTCATTTTAACAGATAATTGTATGGACACATTTAGGTACGCTAGTTCATTATGATGGATGGAGCAATGTATAATTGATTTCATCGTTATTTGATTTTGACCTTTCGTTTTCTGGATGCTTCAGCATGCAACGGACTATAAATCGATACCATAAACATGAAAATGGATCAGGGCCGACCAACAAGGTTGAAGTGGAACAATATGTGCAGGTTAGAAGTTCTATCTTGGAATTTGAAAATCCATCTTTAGATTTCAGATTTTGTTATAAAACTTGCAATATCTTGACGCGGTGAATTTAGTCTTCGCCCATAATCTTCAACAAGATGGAAGATATATAGTACGACTTCATCTCATTGATTCATAAAGTCCAGAGAATGGACTTATTGATATAATTATACTAGATCAAAAAACAAACTTTTACCCTATGTTTGGACTAGGGATAAGAGATTTTAAAGTTTCATGGAACTTAGACTACATTTATAAAGAATGCATTACAAAAAGCATTACCAAATTTAGATAGACAGACTTGAAAATGAGTAGATGCAATACATGAGAGAGGTTTTAAATCCTTTATGTGGTGCCTTTGCAGTGCATTTGTAGTATTTTAGTAGTACTTTTGTAGTACTTGTGTAGTTATAAGTAGTTTTTCTGTTATGCATTTTAAATAATTGAGCATAAAGTTCAATGGAACTTTGAAATATCCTCATCCAAACATAGGTTTTAGTTTTTATATATCAGTTGGGTGACATGAAAAAGAGCCGAGTATCTATGATTTATTTTGGGCTAAAAGCTTTAGAAGCACAGACCTAAAGTTTTGAGTCCTAGTCGGCCTCTAAGATTCACAAAAAGTAATTTGGCATCCCTTGATATATAGAGAAAGGGTTGTGAATGACGTCAAAGCAGGGTGGAAAGAAGATTAATTAATTTATGTACGAATTAATAAAGAAAGAGAACTATAGCATTATACTCTATGAACCAAGTTGCTTGTGTTTCCAAAAACTATATATGAACAAGGTGGTATTTCTTTTTCATTATGAAATGTCAAAATCTGTTAAAATCAGGCATAAATTGAACAAATTGAAAGTACTTTAGTAACTCCGGTGGCTTAGTGGGGACTTTGCATCCGCGCCTTCCACCAGGGAAGTAATTAAAGGGTTGGGAAATTGAATAAAACTCATGCCTTTCTTGATCTATAGTTTGTAATTTTTTTTTCCAATCAACAATATATGTGTGTGTGTGTATATAAGGTTATAATTCAAAGGACAAACATTTTGACAAATATTTTATATTTATAGCCATTAATTGATGTGGATATTAATTTAGATAAAACTGAGAAAGAATTAAAAAGTTGAAGGAAATTAAAAAGAAGAAAGAGAGAAACCCCTATAAACGAGAAATTTTTTATTGTGATCGTTCTTGTTGCTTCCCTTCCTACTTGGCTCAGTTAGGCACCTTTCTTTTCAATATAACATAATCCAGAACTAATTGTTTTAGAGATTCTGTGTGTCAACTGTGCATTATAATTTTATTCTACCTATGTGAAAATCAGCGATTTGGTACCATACATACACACAATTGTATATGTAAATAAGTATATTAAGTGTACCATAAGATTGCTGGGAATTTTTTTGGATTTTATCCTTCTTCATCTTTCTTAAGCATCATCATCATTATTTTACAATATTGATACCTGATAGGCTGAGACATGCTTATCAAACGAGAAAGGGAAAAAGAAAAGAAACTCGGGAAGGGGCTTCAAGTTGTTGGTTAACTATATATTAGCAAATCCTTTCACACCTAAGCATGTCGCCATGCGTTTGTAGTACTCTATAGATTTAGTTGCGACTGATGATTGTTTTTGTTACAGAAGTGATTTTCGTATTTCTTTTGACACTATATTTTGATTCTTCTTTTATTTATTCAATTCAATAACCTGACCTCATATATGAATATGAGACAACTTGTGGCTGAGAAAAACTAATTGATTAATCTGCATGCGTGCAGCACTTGAAGCATGAATCAGCTATTATAGCCAAGAAGATAGAGATCCTAGAAGCTTCCCAGCGGTTTATGGCCTAGTTTGATCATCATCTCCTGTATTTTTTTCTCATCTGACATTTTATTAGATTAGGTTTTCCTAAACTCTGAAATTTGTATGTCTTAGGAAGCTTTTGGGAAATGATCTGGATTCTTGCCCTGTTGAAGAACTCCAAGAGATCAGTAGCCAGCTGGAGCGAAGCTTACGCAGCATAAGTGAGAGAAAGGTACATATATACATCTAATCTGATGATGCCCATTTTCCTCCAACTTTATCAGTTAAATGGAATTTGTTTTGGCCTCTTGAAATTTAACTGACTTGAAGTGTTTCCAGGCTCAATTATACACGGAGCAGATGGAACAACATAAGGCAAGGGTAAGTATTTAATTTAGTGTTACAACTATTAGGGTGCTGTTATCAGCACTTCAATAATATTATCTCGCATTTATTGTATAATTTTTTTTTTTAATTGAGTAAAATGATAAAAATAAAATCTCATTTATTGACTGATGAAAATATGTCAAAATATGTTTGTTGTAACGATTTCCCAAAAATAATATTGACAACACAATAGAAAACTGATTATTTCAACAATTGAGATTTTACCGTACTTTTCTCAACAAAAAAAAAAATTTAAACAATTGAGACTTGAAGACAATCATTTTGGCCAATATTCCAATAAAAATTTAGAGTGCCTGATAAAAAATTTTGGAGTGTTAATAACAACTCTAACCATTAATAGTAATTTGTAGAGCTGTATGTATACATTCTCCAACTGCTTCACTAGTTCTAAGTTCTAACCATCTTTCTCTCCTCTAAAATCAGGAGAGGTTCCTGTTACAAGAGAATGCACAGTTACGTGAAGAGGTAAACGTTTTTAATCCTTTTGAACTGATTCCGTTTAATTCCTAACAACTACGTACTGTGCATATGACGTTGGAGGCGATTTGGTATCCTGATTTCCATTATGATTTATTTTGCTGGTCTTTCTTTTCTTGTTTATTTATCTGCACAATGATGATATGATCAGTGTTGTGCGAAGCCGTGGATGGAGTTTTCACCTCAAGAAAAAAGAGCTTCTGCGTCTGTAAGCAATGAAAAAGCAGGAGCTTCTGCTTCTGCTCCGATAAACTACCGGAGCCAAAGTAGCATGAGTTCTGAGGTGGACACCGATTTGCTCATTGGACAGCCAATGGTGCGCGCTGTTGATCGCATCGCAGTCTAAAGTCAACATTCATCAGATAAATAATAATGCTTGTCAATCATATTTGGTAGGCCGTGCTCTCAGATTAATAATTCTAGTAAGGTCAAGCAATAAAATATCAAAGGAAGTTATAATTTCCTATGATTTTTGACCCAGTTGTATAATTTTATGTATATGCTTAATGCGTCAGGTTGTAGCACCAAATCTGAACTTAATGGCTAGGGTATTCGTTTTGAGCCAATAATACGTTATTTTGAAGGGAACAAGTAATCAAATTCATCGCTATAACATGCTTTTTTTGATTAAATAGTGACGTTTTTCTTCATGAAATCTGTGGATGCAAATTTCTTCCTCCTCGATCTTGGACGATTTTGCACCTACAAAACAATTAACACCTTAGGTTAAGGTCAAGAGCCTCACGCGCCCACGATGAATGGGGGGGCTTTGGCCGAAGAACCTCCGATGCCAAAGTTAGAATTTAGAGAGAAAGAGTGTTTAGAGAATTTTGGGATTTTTGCCAAAGTGTTGGAATTAGGTTTTTGGTGAGAATGAGAGCCTATTTATAGGGATAGGGTTCTTGATTTAGGTTAAATTTAGGAGTTATGGGAATAATTGACTAATTAATTTAGCAAATAAAATTATTGCCAAATTAACTAGCTAACTAATGTGATAAAATAGGTGAATATGATGAGATCAACTAGGGTGGCCGGCCATTTGGGGTTTTTTGGGTAATGGGTATGTAATGGGGGATTAATCGGCATAATGGGTCATTTAATTGGTGATTTAATGGATTAATTAGGAAATAAATCCATTAACTCACCAATTAATCTAATTTAAATGGAATGTTTGGAATGGTTACCTTGTGGGGTATATGGATGAAATAACTTTTATTTGTTACCTTCTTTGGGCATTTTTGACTTGGTTAACGGATGATTGCCCGCTGCTCGTGCATAGGAATCTCGGTATGTCTCAAGGATATTTTTGTCTTCTTTTATCCAAAAATCCACGTGTCGCCTTGTGAATATTTTTGGCTCCACAAATGCCCCCACACCTGTTGGGCTACTCGCAGAAAAGGGCAGCAGGTGTAGAGATCATCTTGCTTTAGGAAACGTAGGACTGCTTCCTATTTTGATGTAGATTCTCTCTTTAATAGGAAATTAGGTCCTTCTAGAAAAGGGAAATAAATTTCTCTCAAAGCCTATTTAAGTCCACCTTAAGTGGGTTATTAAATCAACTTTGGAGAGCGATTATTCTACCCTACAAGAGAGAGATAGCTTAGAGGATATTTGTTCCCCCTCCTCTAACAATCTTCTACATCTTGCCCGTGCAAAGGACCGTCTTTCGTTGCTTTCTTTGTCTCTTCGTGCCGCACTGAGGTAAGAAAAAATTAATTTTCCTTGTCTTCTTCTTGGATGGTGCTACCGTGGGGCAGCCGTCGGGGTGGTGTGGCACGTCGGCTAGCATGGGCCAGGAGTCGGCTCGGCGTGGGCCGATGAGGTATTGTGGTAGGGACCACTGCTTTAAGCTGCTCGACTTGGCTAGAACCAAGGGTAGCTTGTGAGGCTGGGGCCGCAGATTGTGGCCCTGGGGCGCAGTACTAGGCGAGTCACATGGCTCATGTCCTTTTAGACTTTTGGACACGACGTGAGCTAGGCCGGTGATTGAGAGAAATGAAGAGGTTGCGGGCCTCATGAGCTTTTGGAATGTTGGGTTGAAATCTCGCTCCAGCTGGCTGACATAGTTACCCAATCCTTGTCCGACTCGAGAATCTGCAACGCTAACCCCCACATAGGACAAACTTAGCCGTAGTCTGTTCGTAGCCTATATCTCATTCTAAAGCATACTCTCGCTCTCCATCGCGCTTTCATCGTGGTCTCAACGATGCCGCATGCCTCCCCATGTCGTTCGAAGTTGCTGCCTCAGTGCGGCCGGGTCGTGCTCACCCAAACCCCCGGTCAATAGATCCTAGTAGTCGATCCAAGTAAATCTGAACACGTAACACCGCATGACGCTCTCCACGCTCGCGTCAGGTACTGGCTCGCTCCGTTGTACTAGCCGTTTCAGAATGGCATCCTTTGCCGATAACACCCTCGCTTGCTTGGCTATTACACTCGTGCGGGATACCCACCATACATTAGCGTCTTCATTCTCCGCTCCTGGTATCACTCCGAACATGCTCTACCTCAGCGAGCAGAGTGCCCGCTAGATGCATCCGTGACGCATAATCGAAATCAGGTCGAACACCAAAAGGATAACTATACAAATGATTTCCGCGTGCCTTGTTTGCCGCGCAGGCCTGTTCTGCACTCCAATCCTACCCCCCAGTCCCGTTATACTCCAATTCTCGCGTTCGTTACTCCATCCCACTCTCCCTAGTATATATATACAGATATATACCAATACTCGATGTCCTGTGATCGCTCCACAATCCATGACCTCCTTCTTGTAATCCTCTCCACTTTAACGAATCCTTTCCCTTGCACTCCATACGGCCGAATACACAGCAGGATATGGGGTATGTCCCGTGAAACAGCACCGTTATGATATCACCTTCGAGATCTAGGCCGCTGCCATACGACGTTCAGCGTGCTCCCTATCCCTGCCTACCTTATTCCATCTTGTCTGACTAACAAGCCACATCCCGATCCTCAACGTATCTATATCAACGTTAGACAAGAGCCCTCCACTAGCTCTCAAACCGATTGCTGACCTCAGATCTTCTGCCTCTAGACTCGTGCATCCCCTCTCATTCTGCTATGCCTTATTCCGTGCTCATGACGCTTGCGAAGCACCTGTAATTCCTCGAAGCTATGTGTGACCATCATCGACGGGTTCGACAGCTATGTCTGCCCTAAACACTCGATATATGCTAACTCGCACCAACGTTGCGTCCCCGCCAGCTCTATTGTCACTTCTTATTACACCTCGCGCGTATCATTACTTCGTGCTCCGGTCTCAACCCTCATATCGCACTATTGCGGTAGCTCCTACTCCACTCGCCATCCCGTACTTGACCGATCACTCTTGTAGCCATCCCTCTCTTATTTGTCATACTCCGCACCCTCCGTTCCAACTAAGCCCTGCATACAATATATCGCGTCTTCTCTCTAATATCCTTCCACATGCTCGTTCTCTCTGCTGATGCATATCGCCTCTGACGTTACTCATCCTTTTCGCCTGCTCTCCTCCGACACGCGGGATCTCCTCTTTAATACGCGATCCCGCGTAACTTCTTGTCAAGCGATCTACCTCGCATATCCGTTTGCTAATCCGTGTGCATCTACGGCAGCGCTCTCAATCCACTGATATCCACCCTGATAGCTCATTGCTACAGTAATGAAAGTCGCACTGCGCGTGTTCCTCGCTCACTATACTTGTTTCTGCAATGATACCTCACTATCTGCGATTACAATCTCGTTCCACAGCATGTCTCTCTGTGACTCCTTCCGAGCACATAACGCCGACATTCCTCTATAAATATCTGTGCGTCTCTACAAGATGCATAAAAGGGGTTCTGGGGAAATCATCCTTTGTACCACACCGCTCGTCCGTGCATTCATCTATCGAACACGCGATCAAGCACCCATTCTTCATTCTACTATGCGACTTTGCACGCCGATAGCCTCTGCGACGACTAATACGCCTCGATGGTATATAAAATCACCACTTCCGCCCTCTGCTTCCTGGCTCGTCACCCCACTCACCAGCAAACGACGTCCATGATCACAGGCTATATGATTGGATCCGCAATCTAACGTACAGTCTGCTATTAGTTGCCGTTCTACTCGAGTGCACGTCTACCATGCCCTATCTATTCGGCCTACCTACTGAACTCCCCGAAGATATACAGTCCGATTGTAGATGGCTCGCAACGTCTTGCATCCTCTCCGTGCTCTCTCGTCGAGTCCGTTAGCGCTCGTCCCTGTGTCCAGCAGTGCTCAGCCATCACGGACATCTTGATACCCTCCACGCCGTTACAGACCTGAGCCTTCGGCCTTCATATGTCTCCAGCATACTGTGTCCTGCCGGCCACCGCACCTACCATCTTATAGCGTTGCTGATGAACAATGCTACCTGCGGTGACAGTCACGCTCTTACACTGACGGTCGCTAATCTGCCGACGCTACCCCGGGAGCCCTGTTGTGTGCTGTCTATAGAACACCTTGCGCGCACAATGATCGAAGATACCGCCTCAGCACTTATCTGCGCCTCCAGTCCCGCTGACGTCCTGCCCTTACATGGCATGTCTAAAGATCCACCATTAGGGCTGTCCTTAGTACATAAGCACCGTTCAAGCTAACGTCGCCCACTACCGCCTCACTCCGTCCTTACCCCATGTTAAGCATCTACACTGTTTACGTCATATATTCAGAAAACCAAGAATCTACTTTCACGGGAATAGTCTAAGCTCGATATTGATTCAATTTACGACCGTCGTGCAACACACATCCTGTCTGTGTCTCTAATGCGCTCTCTATGGAGCCCCTCCATGATCGTCCTTCTCATGTCGAAACTTTTGGTCTTCAGATCAACGTTTCTGTACCATTCTGGTTCTCCCCAACGAGCCGACTTGCCCCCAGTATATGCACGCCATAGCCCAACAAGAACCTAACAACCTAGGCGGGAAGCAACATGACTCTCCGACACTTCTCCCCACCCCGCGAAGTGACCGCTCGCTACTCACCTGTCCTCTAAGAGTACCAAGCCCCTGCTATGCTATGATGTAGATATGAGTTCCTTCAACAGTGACTTACCGACTGCGGACTGCTCATGCACAGCAATCGTCGTCCGTACTGTCGCTACGATCCGGGCTCGTCTTATTCATCATACCGTTTCATCTACTCCACCGAGCCCTCTCATCCTGTAACCTTCCGATCCAGCTCGCTAATATGTGACTCACATTAAGGATTACCGTGAAGGCATCGCCTTTCACTCTATAGAGTCCGGTCCTAAATGACTTTTTTTCGATCCCCCAACACTCTTTATTCTGCTATACTGCCCTTCGAGACTACCCCAACCCCCCATTCGCTCGCCACCTATCCACATTCCCCGATTGCTGTGTTGACATCACCTGATGACATGGACTCAGGTCTTTAACCGTCCCATTACTATCGTGAAGACCCATTGGACTGAAGCTTCCGCGTCGCCGGCTCACCGCTCAGCGGAAGAGGCACATCGCCCCCTCCCCGATACCCGGCACAACCTCTACATTCATCTCGGATACGACACCCGCTCACCCGCTCGCATTCACGCCTATACTGTCACGCATGGCGCACATCCTCTGCGCTGCTGACAATCGTTCACTTT